CCTCAGCCTCCCAAAGGCGCGGGATTACAGGCTGAGCCACCGAGCCCGGCTGTGTTTGTTTTTATATGGCATTTATAATGAAACTTTACAAAAAGTAATCGAATTATAAAGTCAAAATTTAGAATTGGGAAGAGATAAAGACAAAATTTAGATTGGGAAGGGCATGATATGGAGAAACATGGGTTAACTTCAAGCTAATTTATCATATTGTACTTCTTTGAGTTTAGAGTGGTTCAAGGATCTTCAGTATATTATACTTTATAATTAACACATATTCCATGTCTTTTGTAAGCATCTAACTTAGAGGCATTTTTACACCAATGCTCAAGTTTCAGGGCTTTTCACTAGTTTGGGCCTATTACAGCGGCTCTTAGGGGAACCATAGCAATACTGTGTTCACATGGTTGGATGTTTTTGTAATATTTACAAAAAAGATTTTTTTTTTTTTTTTTTTTTTTTTGAGTCAGTCTCTGTCGCCCAGGCTGGATGGCAGTGGCATGCTCATGACCACCGCAGCCTCAACCTGCTGGGCTCAGGGCATCCTTCCACCTCAGCCTTCCAAGTAGCTAGAACCACAACCATGCACCACCATGCTCAGCTGATTTTTTGACTTATTGTAGAGACAAGGTCTCCCTATGTTGCTTAGGCTGGTCTCAAACCCTTGAACGCAGGCAATCCTCTCGCCTCCGCCTCCCAAAGTGCTGGGATTACAGGCGTGAGCTACTGGGCTTGGCTGTATGATATTTTAACTAGTCATTTAAAACTGCTATCTCTCTTCACCTTGATTTCTTCCTTGTGTTACCTGACAGTACAGTGGCTTTTGGCATTTTGTGATTGTGGATACACTTAGTATGAGTTTAATGGGATGTGTGTGGTTCATTGTCACTTCTAGGTTAGGTAATTATTGCCTGTCAATCTGATTGTGATGAGAATGTGGTCTTTGGTGCCTGGCACCTTAAGTATATGAGTTGTAGAGAAGTCAACATTTGAAATTTATAAAGCCAGACGGTATTCAGGGAAAAAAATTCCAATTATGCGATGTTTGAAATTACTCAAATATAGAACTTTATCTTGTCAGAAATAATAACACAATATACTCAATTATAATTTCACCAAATATTTTAATTTTTTGATAGAAACTCTGCCATTAAAGTAAAATGTTTATATTGTCAGAATATTGTTAGAGCACAAAGCTATAGCAGTGTGAACAAGAAGTATGTCTTTAGGTGAAACTGTTTTATGCATCCTGATTACCAGGGTTTTTTAAAATCATTCAACCATGCTAAAGGAAAGACTTGATTTTTCTATTCTTTCTATGAGAAACAATACAAAAATTGTATTCATGAAAAGGAAATTAAATAATGTGCATTCAAATAGGAAAAATGAAATTCTGTGGGTATATCATGCCCTTAATTAATGAAACTATTATGACATTTTCCTGGATTCTGTAATGTTTATACATGTCAGATTTTATTTTATTTTAATTTTTGAGTTGGAGTCTCACTCTGTTGCCAAGGCTGGAGTGCAGTGGCACACTTATGGCCACCACAGCCTCGAACCCATGGGCTCAGGCAGTCCTTCCATCTCAGCCTTCCAACTAGCTGGAACTACAGGCATGTGCCACCACACCCGGCTAATTTTTTGATTTATTGTAGTGATGAGGTCTCGCCAAGTTGCCCAGGCTGGTCTCGAACTCCGGGGGTTTAGGCAATCCTCTCACCTTGGCCTCCCAAAGTGCTGGGGTTATAGGCGTGAGCCACCGTGCCCAGCTCCATGTCAGATTTTAAGAACTTGTCATTTTTTTTTCTTATTCTAAATAAATAAAAAATATTCACCTCAACCTTCAGGTCTTATAAAACCTGAAACTGTACCTTATTAAATGATGTATTGAAGAAAATATAGAAGAGGAAGCTTCGAGTAAGAAAATAGATAATGGTAAGTGAAAAAAAATGGTTCAGATATCTTTGACTGGATTATTTGTGCCTTCACATCTCCTAGATGTGTCTTCTGTCTTTGACTTTGGGTTTAATAAATGTGCTATAATTTGTTAGATAACTGGTCTATTATGTGTTAATATAACTTAATTGTAAAAATTGACTGTGGCTGGGCACGGTGGCTCACACCTATAATCCCAGCACTTTGGGAGGCCGAGGTGAGAGGATTGCCTGAGCCCATGGGTTCGAGACCAGCCTGAGAAACTTGACGAGACCTCATCTCTACAATAAATCAAAAAATTAGCCAGGCATGGTGGCATGTGTCTGTAATTCCAGCTACTTGGAAGGCTGAAGCAGAAGGATCGCCTGAACCCTGCAGGTAGAGGCTGCGGTGGCCATGAGCATACCACTGCACTCCAGCCTGGACAACAAAGACTCGACTCAAAAAAAAAAAAAAAAAAAAAAACAAGTTTATGTTGAACTGGTAACATGTTATGTATGGATCTCGGTGTTTGTTTTATATATTCATGACTATAGGAAATCACTCCTGTAGTACCATTTATTCCAGAAACATGAACATTAGGAAAGCTTAAAAAGATGTAGAATATTTTATTTTGTGTTTTGTTTTTATGAAATAGTGTAATTTAATCTTTAGGCTATATAAACTGGCCTACATGGATGATTAAATAAAAAGAAAATGGTTATAGAGCACTAAGGCGATATAACAAAAAGTGGCTAGATAATCTATTAGATTTAGTATTAAATAGTCTTGCTAGCAATACACATTTTGAATTCATGTGTAGTTTAGATCTTAGAAAAAAATAGAATTATTTGTATATTTTGTATGACATGAAAATGGATACACTTTCCAATAAAGTGATTATCTAAATCTGGAGAGATAATGTCAAAATTATTTTAATATTGTAAATAACTAATTCACTGGAGAAATGCACTTAAATATGATATCTTAAATTCTAGGATATGAAAGATGGCAAGTCCAGATAGAAGTAAACGGAAGATATTAAAAGCCAAAAAAACAATGCCTACAAGTTGCCGGAAGCAAATAGACATCCTGAATAAGTCAAGGAATGTTGAAGCACTGAAAACAACAGCAATTGGGAGTAATATTCCAAGTGGTAATCAGAACTCAAGTACTGGTGTCATAACTAGCAGTTGTAGACATTCTGAAAATGTTGCTTCCTCATTGGACTCTAACAAAAATTCCGTATTCTTACAGAAAAGTAAAGTATTCCCTCAGAATTGCATAAAATCAGTAGAAGAAATTGTTCATTCAGAAGCAAGATTGGAATACGATGATAAAAGAGTTGTGTGTCGGTACCAAAAGCCAAGTAAAACAATAGATTCTCTCAGCAAACTCCTTTTACAAGAAGCAAAAGATTCACAGATTACTACTGAAAACCACTTGGAATATCAGACAAATATAACAAGATCCATTCTTGAGCAAGAAGGGGCTTGTAATCTCAAATCCAGTTATTGTCCACCCAGTGTATTGAATAGTGTAGTTCAGGTGGCAAAGTCTACAGTAATCTTGGATGATAAGAGAAATGACAAGATGGTTTTACACTCAGAAATGAACTCCAAGTCAGAGTCACCTGATAAAAAGCAAAATGACAAGATTTTAAGTTCAGACTCAGGTTTTGTGCCTCTTGAGAAAACACCTAAGTTGGTGAAGTCGGTCAATTCCAATAATTATGCTGCTGACATTTTGAAAACTGCAGAATCTATTAGAACCTATCATTCCAGCATTTCAGATTGTGAAGGTGCATACTCAACGTGGCAGTCATCACTTGACACCAATAGTAATAACAGTAAGTGTATAGTTACGCATCTTTTTGAGAAATTAGAATAGTCACTTTCAGATGAGGGGTTTTAAAGTCTCAGCTATACAAACATGTAGAGTACACACAGACAGGCAAAAGGTAAATAGTACCTTGTTTCTGAACCATTCTTGGTAGGGGAAAAAGTATCCACCATATCAAAAGGAAAATTAATTCTGGCTAAGAGTCATTTTCCCTTGAGATAAAAGAAAAGTGGTTTTATAGCAATTGTTCGGTTCATTTCATATACATCTCTTAGTATTTTTAAGTTTTACTTATTAGACTAAGGGGGCTTAATTGAAAGAGAGTGGGTTTTTTAAAATGTTGGTGAACACTTTTCTTTCCATAGGATTGACCTTAAACACATGCCAAGTATAAGATAATAGATAACAATACATACATATATACATATGTGTGTGCATGCGTAGAGAGAGAGAGAGAGCTGTAGAAGCACATCAAATATATAACATGAAGCTCGACTTATCATATCATTAAAATAATTAAAGTAATTTCATTCAAAATAGAGTATTTATGCTGGTTAATGAAATAGAAGAAAAAACTGATTTCATAGGATACATTTTGTGTTCTTGTCTAAGCTACAAAGTAATCATTTACCAAGATGAATTTTAAATTGCTTAAAAATAATATCACTTATTAAAAATAGGTTAGGACTGCCTAAGTATCTGTTTATAAAAAAGAATTTAGGACCACTTATGTAACTATAAGTAAATAGTTAAATGCTGTAATTATTTCAGTTTTTGATGGTATGTGTGTATTAAATAATGTTGAAATGGGAGTGTATCTGAGACTAAAACCCTGCCTCAGATATTAATGATTTTTGTTGTTGTTTCTTTTGTTTTTTATTCTTTTGGAGATATTAATGTTTTTTAAGGAATTGTTGGAATTTCTTTTACATTTACAATTTCTTAAAAATGCTGCCATTGTCAAATTTTAATTTTTCCATTTGCTTAGAGGGAAAAGAGTTTCCCTGCTTTTTTCCTTAGAAGGAATATTTTTATCTTTAATCCTTCCATTTCCCTAAGGCCATTATCAAAAGAAGAGGATGTTTTCAGAAAACAAAGAAAATGTTAAGCGCCTGAAAACTTCTGAGCAAATTAATGAAAACATTTGTGTAGCTCTGGAAAGACAAACAGCATTATTGGAACAGGTAAAATATTTGGACTTTAGTATTTGCTCCAGAAACCTTTGATTAGTAAAAAATGGTAAAGTTAATTAACTGATCTCCACAGTGACATAGTATAGATGACTTTAACTTGATGCAAAACTGGTGTGTAAAAACTGAATTAGCAAACAGATTAGAGAAAGGTAATTTTTTACATTACGTCTCTAGTTCCTTGAAAATGATCTCATGCAGAGTAACCTAGGTAATCATACATAGGCAAAGACCTGTTGTAGAAAGAGTAGGCTTTCAGTCAGTATTATTTATATTTCTGTCAGTTAGGCAATGCATTCACCTTCAGCTTTGCTAAACAATTGGATCTCTTTTGTACTAGTCATGAGGTCCTTTGTTCTGCTTTTCTGTTTGTATCCCTCCTTACTTCCCAGAAGATTCAGATAGCCCGCAAGTTCATTGGAAGTCCCACTGCATTCAATTTACTTGCCCTAATTGCCAAATTTACATGGATATAGAGCATTATCTGACAATTTGCATTATAGCATTATTAAATACACTTCTTACTTTCATTTCGGCCTCATTTTATCTCATTATTCTACAGTCTTCATACATCTAATCAGTTGTGAGTTGAAGTGTAATGAGTCTAGTATTAGGTTGGTGCAAAAGTAATTGCGGTTTTGGACCGTAAATTTTAAATCATTATAACTAGGCTCACACACATCTTTATTAATCAAAATAGGAACCATTACAATCAATACATTTTTGCCAGTGAGAAATAAGTTTGTTCCTGTAGTGTAAAATTCATGCTTTGGGATTTTTTATTTTTTGAGTTGGAGTCTCACACTGTTGCCCAGACTGGAGTGCAGTGGCCGTTCCCGGTCACCGCAGCCTCGATCCGCTGGGCTCCGGCGATCCTTCCACCTCAGCCTTCCAAGTAGCTGGAACTACAGGCGTGCGCTACCACCCCCAGCTAATTTTTTGATTTATTGTGAAGATGAGGTCTCGCCAAGTTGCCTAGGCAGGTCTTGAACCCACGGGCTCAGGCAATCCACTCACCTCAGCCTCCCAAGGCGGGGTTACAGGCTGAGCCACTGAGCCCGGCTCATGCTCTGAGGATTTGACAAACTCTTGGAAAGTATTTTCTGTGTCCTGCTGGTTGTGGAAGCATTTTTCCCTGCAAAAAGTTGAGATGCTTGAAGAAGTAGTAATCGGTTGGCAAGAGATCAGGTGAATATGGCGGATGAGGCAAAAATTCGTGGCCTAATTTGTTCAACTTTTGAAGTATTGGTTGTGTATTGTGCAATCTGGTGTTGTGGTGAAGAGGAATCGGCCTCTTTTTGTTGATGAATGCCAGCTGCAGGCATTGCAGTTTTTGGTGCATCTCATTCATTTGCTGAGCATACCTCTTAGATGTAATGGTTTCGCTGGGATTCAGAAAGCTGTAGTGGATCCAGACAGACCGTCAACAGACCACCAAACAGTGACCATGACCTTTTTTTGCTGCAAACTTGGCTTTGGGAAGTGCTTTGGAGTGTCTTCTCCATCCCACCACTAAGCTGATCATTGCCGGTTGTCATATAAAATCCACTTTTCATTGCACGTCACAATCTGGTCAAGAAATGGTTTGTTGTTGTGTAGAATAAGAGAAGATAATGTTTCAAAACGACAGTATTTTTTTATTTTTGGTCAACTCACGAAGCACCCACTTATCGAGCTTTTTTACCTTTCCCATTTGCTTCATATGCCAAATGACTATAGAATGGTCGATGTTGAGTTCTTCGGCAACTTCTCATGTAGTTGTAAAAGGATCAGCTTTGATGATTTCTCTCAATTGGTCATTGTCAGCTTCTGTACGTTTGCTAGCAGTTCCTGAGCCAAATGTGTTGTTGATGTTGCAGTTGTCTCTGCTGCTTTATGATCTATTTTGAACTCAAATAAGAAAATTGCTCAGATTTGCTTTTTGTCTAGCATCATTTCCATAGTCTAAAATAAATATAAAATAAACCGGAAATAGTAAGTCATTAGCAAAAAAAAGTTAGAATTGTGCATTAAAATAATGTGACATAACCACATTTATTAAGAATGTAGTCCAATATTAAACAGCAAATTTCAACTCATAAAAACCACAATTACATTTGCACCAACCTAATAGAATGGCTATAATCAGGACCTGTTTTTTGTTTTTTTTTTTTTGAGTTGGAGTCTCACTCTGTTACCCAGGCTGGAGTGCAGGGGAACACTCACGGACACCCCAGTATCAGCCTGCTGGGCTCCAGCGATCCTTCCATCTTAGCCTTCCAAGTAGCCTTAACTACAGGCGCACACCACCATGCCCAGTTAATTTTTTATTTATTGTAGAGACAAGTTGTCTCCAAGTTGTCTGGGTTGGTCTCAAACCCACGGGCTCAGGCCTCAGCCTCCCAAAGTGCTGGGATTACAGGCTGAGCCACTATGCCCAGCCAGGACCTGTTTTTGATGATCATATTTTACTGTTTCACTACCACTAGAATGTCACCAAAAATTATATGTAGTATATTAATGTCTTTTTTTTTTTTTGAGTTGGCATCTCACTCTGTTGTCCAGGCTGGAGTGTAGTGACACAATCATGGCTACCTCCTGGGTTCAGATGATCCTTCCACCTCAGCCTTCCAAGTAGCTGGGACTATAGGTGTGTACCACCATGCCCAGTTAATTTTTTGATTTACTGTAGAGATGAGGTCTTGCCAAATTGCCCAGGCTGGTCTTGAATCCATGGGCTCAGGCAGTCCTCTCGCCTTCACCTATCAAAGTACTAGGATTACAGATGTGAACCACCATGCCTGGCCGATCAATGTCTCTTAACTGTAATGAACCAAAATTTCCCAAACTATTCTGCAAGCCATTTCAGAAACAAAAACACTGCTGTTTACAATTACATAGGTGTATATCCTATGGATATGTATTCACCTAATAAAGGGAAATCTCTTTGAAAGACTCATGCAGAAACAGCTTTACAGGTGAGTCAACAGTTTTTCCCTTACTACCTGTTGGTTTTCTGGGAAGACCAAAGGAGACACGCTAAAAAAATATGTAAATATTATATTGCTATCAAGGAAGGGATAGAATTATGGTACACATGGATCTAGTCCTAGGGATCATGTTATTTAAGAAAAAGATTGGCAATTCCAGCTGTGTCTTGTTCCTGGTGATTAGTAGCTATATTCAGAAATAAGTTCTTTTTTTTTTTTTTTTTTTT